CGTAATGTCCCTTAGTAATTGTTCAAAGATGTCCCTAATATTGCTTACAAGTTACACTTCACAGTTTCAGAACTTCATTATTCTAGATAAAACTATTTAATAGCTATTTATTAATGATAATAATCTTCATAGTTTAGGAATTCTATAACAAAAATTCTAAAGGTTTTTAAAGGTCTGTGTGAACTTCGTAAATACACTTAGAGAGTCAGTATCTTGTATTCTCTGTAACGTGAATTACGTCACACGTGAAGATCTCACGTAATGACACGTATCTTATGTATATCTCCTGGTCCTAATCTAGCTCCTAATCAATTTTCATCCAAATCGGTGCAGCTGTTAATGAGTTATGAGTATTGTAAGTAATACGACTGTCTTTTATATATATAAACTAGTTTTTACCTGCGACTTCGCCTGCGTTATTTTCAGATAGTAATGTATAGCTGATCTGTCGAACTCGAAGCCTCCTTTAAGACAGTAGATAAGAAGATTTTAGATTTGATTAACTTTTCTTCTTTTTCAATTGCATGAAAAGTATCTTGTACTTTCCCTTGTTCTAATGTATCTCTCCACGAATTTTCTGCCAAACCCTTACAGCTGTTCTTGATTTATAAATAGTGTAACAAACATGACTTTCTTTAATATATTACAATTTAATATATTTTTCAAAACTAATTTTTTATACGCTTTTAACTTATCTAAAGAAAGTATTGCAATATCATAAAGTTAATAAAAGTAAGTTTAAACTTTCATTTTATATTAAATGAACATTAAAAGAAAAAAACGTCTTCATGATGTTCGGGAAGTATTTATCTTGAACTACTTTATAAATATTATTTATACAACAATAGAATAAGTTTCAGTATAAGCTAGTTCAGTAATAAATTCTCAAAGACATTTGATTATATTAAGACTTATGTATAACCATAAGTGTTTATGTACTTGACGCTTTTATTACGTAATTTCTTCTTCTTCCTGGCAATTTCCCAGCTTTAGCCAGGGTCCGCCTTGAATGTTGTTAAAAGTTTTGGCTAACTGTTTTTACGACCGGCCGTCTGCCTGACATCAACCCTCTTTGGGAATGCATTAATCAGTGATGTCTTAATACTCTTAGAAAGTACATATGACTAGGAAAAATCACATTAGTACTTGCCAGGATCGAACCGCGCCCTCATGCATGAGAGGCGGGCCCTTTAGCCACTAGACCACTGCTGACTGAATTTATATATTTATAGGGTATATTTTGCACCGAAATACTTTTAATATATCAATAATTTATATAAAAAATATTTAAATTTTCATAATGAAATTTTTATATTTAAACTCCTATTCAAACGACAAACGTTTTTTGAAAATCACTATCTTTCTTTCGAGAACTTATAGTTATGCAACAATCATACTTATAAACAACAGGCATAAAATGAATTATTTAGTAAATAATAAGAAAAAATAAAATTAATATATAGTCAAAATATACGTAGTTTAATATAAAAAGTATTAGTTTCATTTATCAAGGTAACTTGCCCTATTTAATTCTAAAGGTGTGTTCTCTTAAGTTCGTAGCATACTTACCCATTTCTTTGGAACTCGTTTCCACTCTTTTTAGTACATTTTATACGTCACTAGATTTTTCCGAGATTCATATTCAGTCTGCGTGTCACAGAGTAAAAAAAAACATACATTTCTTGGTATATACACTGTGTATTTTATACTACTGTACCTATATATGTTAGGTTTTAAATAAATTCATTTAGTTCGTTTTTGTTGATAGATTGTATTAATGTATGTATTATACTACAATTTGTAATATATAAGATATTTTAAGTTCACCGATTAGTCTTTAACCACATCGACACTGATGAATCGGTTTCAATAAAACTTTTTGCCTCGACATCAGATATACTCACACGAAAAGTAATAATATTAATTTCATTGTTAATGTAGGTACTTTGTGTTAAATATTATATTGCAATCTTCTAAATGTTGTAAGTTACAAGAAACAGTCTATAGAGATATTTGGAAGAATTCAAAAAGGTTTAATTTCTAATATTTAATATCTTTATGGCTGTAACCGACATATTTTATAAAATTATAGTATAGAAAATTTGAGGCTCTAATATAATATGAGAAGATGACAAAACTTAATTCCCTAAATTTTCAGATTATTTCATAGAATAAGCATTGAACAGATTATAATTTATATTTAATTAGCAGAAATTTAAACGCATTCTTAGCACACTTATCGACTATTGATCGACGGCAGCCATCTTGTTATTGAAATGTCAAACTAATAATTCTTAAATTACAAATTCTTTCGTTGCTATTACGATAAAGTTTGTTTACCGTATAAAATGTCTGCTATAATTCTAAAATTAACTATCAAATCGGACAATAAGAGCCTTCAAACACGCACGGTACGTTATTAGGTAAATTGAACTAATATAACTCTAAATCGCCCGATGCACTCCATGTAATGGGGGTCAATGACCGCGTTAAACTAAATTACTTGAGAATATAAAAGAATTTATTTTGTATCACATTTATATATTTTGTTAGAAACACGTGTTATTTACATCCATTGAGACTAATTATATAAAATATGTAATAATATACATAAATGCTCTAAAAATCTTAGTTCTTTTTTGTTTCGATCAATTTTTTATGTACGACAATTTCGATCTATCAAATAGAAGTAAATATCAAATTATATTAATGTTAAAAATGCTGTAACAATTGTCATGAATCTGAAAATAATTTTTGATATTATAGCATTTAATACATATAAGTAGTGACAACTTAAAAGGAATACTTTTGATTTAATCACAGAATGACGACAAAACCGCAGTCAAAATATAGTTATATATACTTACCATTATAATTATTGCCATAGTTACGTTAAATCAATAGCGTCTCTAATGAAGACTGTCTTAATATTTAGTAAGTCTCAGTTCAAGATACACGATGGTCGAGTTGAATAAGTTTCATTTGAAATCATCGTCCATATATTTTGGACATCCGACGCAGTTTTGGAGGGTAATGTATTAAAAAAAATCTTTTTTTAGAGCCATTAATAACTGTGTGTATATTTTTTTTAAGGCTAACAATATTATTTTCTGTTTAAGTTTTCAACAAGTGATAGCTATAGGAATTAAAGTTATAAGTCTTTTCTAATAAAAACTGCGAACACTAGTAATTTTTTAGTGACTAAATTTATAAATAGATCGAAAATTATATGTGAATGCCACGAAAATTATATGACAAAATTGAATTTAATAATATGTAGACATATGTTACTCTCAAACAAAACTACTGAGCAGGATTTGATAATACTTTTCAGTAATGTATTTAAGACATGTAGAATTGATTCGAAACCTGACAAGTATCAATGTGATTTTTCCGAGTCATATGTACTTTCTGAGAGTATTAAGACAGTACTGACAGACGGTGAAAGAAAACGTCGTGAGGATAAATGGACTTATAATTTCAAATTATAAGTTTGAAATCACCAACCCGTCTTGAACAAGCGTGGTGATTAATGCTCAAACCTTCTCCATGTGAGAAGAGGCAGCTCAGCAGTGGGCTCTGATAGGCTGATGATGATGTAGAATTAATCCTAATATTCGTGTAGCTCCAACGATATCAAGGCATAACAGTGGTATTTTTATAAAGGCTCTTCATTTAAATTGTAGCTTTTTCTCAATATTTTTTACTCACTCTTTCACAAACAATTTTCCACGAAAACAGAATTTAACAATGAAATTTAACTGTCTTTCGTAATATTAATACACTAACTATTCATTAAAAGTATGTTGTATTATGCCTACATGGTAGACATATCAAAAGATAATTATAAGTTTTATTTATAAAAGTTTCTTTGTGTTTTTTTTTTCGATTATTTTCGTAACAAATTACGACTTTCACACCCGAACGACTGATTCATAAACTGTAACTCGGGCAACTTTATCTTTTTATTCAAAAAAGAAATTCAAACTTACACCTATTATAATATATACAGGGTTACATGTTAAGTCGACTTAAATCATTAAGAGATGGAAGTGTCCATCATTCCTGACGAACTTGACTAGGGAAGTCCATATCTTAAACTTAACCGTTCTCAAGTTATCGGTTTTAATTTTTTTTATAAAAATTTGCGATTATTATTGATTGTTTTGTCGATTGCCCCCTTTTTAGTTGATTTTTATCATAATTGCGTTTTGTTTTTGCTATTTTTCTGTAGAAGATTAGTTGGTTTATTATGTTGCTTTATTATATGTATATATATACATATGTATGTTATTTCTTTCACAGCAAAGAAAACAAAATGCTATGGAGCCATTGATAGACGTTGAAGTCATGAAGAAAACAACTGATATAGTTGATTATGATAAGATACATTTGCAAAAGTAAGATCCTTTGTATATATATTAGTTACTATACTTATAACTCGATAACGGTTGTAGCGATTTGGATGAAAATTGGTTAGGAGGTAGATTAGAACCAGGAGATATTCATAAGATACGTGTCATCACGTGAGACCTACTTCACGTGTGACGTAACTCACGTTACAGGAAATGTTACAGAGAATACAAGACACTGTAAAACAAATTTAACTCTCTCTAAGTGTATTTACGAAGTTCACGCAGACAAAGTCATGAGCAAAAACTAGTTATATATACGTGATAATGATTTTATTACATATATTCTTTTGTAAAAGTAATTTATTTAAAAAATCTGTGTCACAAAATTACGAACTTGATATTTTTACGATTAAAACAATATATGTATAACTATTAAATACCTATATAATGAAATAAACGACAAAACAGTAATAAGTAAATAATTATAATACATATTTCAGAGCTATCATAAATAGGGCTGAAGAAAAAGTAAGAATATTACTAAACAAAGAAGAAGTAAAGCTTTGACATAGAAGAGAAAAATTAGAACATCTTCTTCTAAAAGAACACGAGGAATTTGTTCTGGAAATAGCAGAAAGAGATGCAATGAAAGAATGCGGTTACTGTGTAGAAAATAAGAATAGGAAAGAGAAATATGTCGAAGAATTAGATAAAGAGAAAATAAGAGAATGTTTGAAGGCTTTAGAAAGAGAAAAAATGTAAATAGTTTTATACAATTTCATCCTATAATAAGATAATTTTGATATAAAATATTTAAATGAAACTATTATTTTTCGGTTATAATAATCAGTTTATTTTTGTGAAAAAACTACATACTCCCTACGTTTTGATTACTTTTCACCACATCTCCTCTGCCCGTGATCACATTTGATAAAAATTAGTCGAAACGCCAGGAGTATGTAGTTTTATACAAAAATTAACCGCGCAGTATATCTAAAAAAAAAGTTTCATTTAAATGAATAAATCTCTCGAAAATCTTAAATCTCATTGATATAAAACAGTTCTTTATTTTAGTGCAAACGGAATGACGAGTACAAAAGCCGATGAAATGGCTTTGAGAGAAATGCAGAAAGAACAGATGAAAGAAAAGAAGAGAATAAGACAGAGTCAAGAAGATGTTGATATGATGTGGCATGAATTACTTCTAGAAGATATTAGGATAAAGGTCAATGAACTTATTACTATCCCTACTAATATTATAAATGCGAAAGTAACTCTGTCTGTCTGTCTGTTACGCTTTCACGCCTAAACCACTGAACTGATTTTAATGAAATTTGGTACAGAGATAGAGTTGACCTTGAGAAAGAATATAGAATTGTTTTTATCCCAGACATTTGAAAGGTTCTGTTGGAAACGCGATATAAGCGAACTCCACGCGGGCGAAGCTGCAGGTGGAAAGCTAGTTGTTTTATATAAATGAAAAATAATCTATAACCCAACAAAATTAAAAAATAAGTTAATTGTTATATTTTCTTCAATATAAATGCTTTTTTTTATTAATATAACTAAATATATTTTAAGAGCAAATAATTTTCTTCTCAGGAGGAACAAGAACGACTAAGAATTGAAAAGAACAAACAAGAAATGCTCGAACGTAGATTAGCTTATGACGAACAGATAAGTAGCGCGAATAGAAAGAGAAGAGAAGTGATGCAGAGTGAGAGAGAAATAGAAAATAGAAGATTGGAGAAGATGAAGTATAGAATGGAACAGGAATATTATGAAGGTTTATAGATTATATCTTCTACCTGGCAATTTCCCGGCTGTAGCCAGGATCGAACCCGCGCCCTCGGCAACGAGAGGCGGGCCCTCTGACCATTAGGCCACCACTGACTTACTGTGGTATATATATATATATGTACCTATGACTTGTAATTTTTTCGATAAAAGCAATTGATAATCTTTTTAATCCTAAAATTTTGTTTCTTCTTGCGTAACTCAAGTCTAAATCTTCTCATACGAAGGGTTATTAGTTGGGGTATGATCTATTTAATTACCTACATTGATAATATTTTGAAGTTTTATGAATGATCTGTTCACATATTTTGACATCATCAAACCGACCGCGACTGTTTGAAAGTTTTAACACAGAAATTTTGGTATTTATATCCTTTAACGTTTGTGCAGTAAACAAAATCCTTTTCTTTGTTTTGAAGTCTGTTCAAAACGAAATAACTAAAATCTATCATAACATATAACTTCATAGACTCTGTTTATTATATTCAAATATTTGTATACATTTAAAATTACAATTTTCAATAAGAAAAATAATGTCAGACATATAATACAGAGAAATATTAGCAACTTATGTATCGTCCCAAATTAATAAAAAAATCATATATCAAGAAAAAACTTATACATTAATAAAACGAAATACAATATACCAATTATATATTATACTAATAAAATGTTTAAGCCATCACAAGGAAAAAGAATCAGCAAATGAAAAACAAAATGAATTACATCGAAGGATTCAATATGAAAATGAACAGAATGATGAATGATAAAAATATAGAAGGACAAGTTGATAATAGAATTATAAACACAGCTATAGAAGAATTAAGGAAAGAAAGAGAACAGAAGATAGCTCGGATGGTATGGAACGAATGAGATTATTATTTATTTTATTACGCATTCATTCATTCGTTCATTCATTCAATCATTCATTCATTCCATGTTCAACTTACACAAATAGCGGTGAAATATTAAAGCAATTTTTTCTACCCCTCAATAATATTACTTATGCGTTAGTACCTAAGTACAAAGGTTTATTAATTATTTGGTAATTCGATTTATTTCTGGTTACGTTCTAAACAATACATAAAGCTGCTAATACTATGAACTTCCCATCTGAAAAGCATTATTATGTATAACAAATCACAAATTCAAAAACACGGAAGATATTTTTCACTTGAGTTTTATAAATCCATAGACTATATTAGTAAGCAAAGTCGCAGTGAGAAACGAGATATGAAACCATTTTAAGCATTATTTAAAATATTAACAATACAATTTCTGAAAACATATTTCTTTTATATTTCAGAAATGTTTAAAAATGGAGAAAAAATTATTCATAGATAATCATTTACGCGAGAGAAAATTAGCTGAAAATTTGGAAAAAGAAACGGAAAGAATAGCGCTTATGTTGAAACAAGAGAAAGAGAGGGAAGCAGATGACGTCACCAAGAATATAGAAGTTTCGAGAAGTAATAATAAAATAGTAAGTGTTTTGTAAAATCAAGAGAAAATTTATATAGTAAATGCTATTTTTATTGAATTTTGATTAAAATATTAATTCATTATTGTTATAAACATAATTATACAAGTTTAATACACGCTTTAAAAAAAATACATATAAAATTGTCCATTTAATTAAATCTATAGAAAGCTTCGCACGAATACCAGAACTTTCTAGATGATTTGAATATAGAAAGAGAGAGACAGAGAAAAGAAAGGATGGAAATAATGGCGAGAGTGAAAGAGACAGCACATAACGAGTTAACAAAGAAATTGGAAGAAAGCAAACAAGAATTGAACAATCAAATAAAATACAGGCAATCATTGACGAAACAGATACAAGATAATCAAATTATAATGGTATGTTACTTCATTAAGATAATTATTTTCAATGTTTATTTACATTAGGTACTTGTTTTGTATGTATGGTTTGATTAATTAAGTCAATAGCCTAGTGATTAAAAGGCCCACCTCTCATGCATGAGGGCGCGGGTTCAATCCTGGCAAGTACCAATGTGATTTTTCCGAGTCATATGTACTTTCTAGGAGTATTTAGACATCACTGATTAATGCATTCCCAAAGAGTGTTTATGTCAGGCAGGCAGCCGGTCGTAAAAACAATTAGCCAAAACTATTTACAACATGTAAGGCAGACCCTGTTTAAAGCTGGGGAATTGCCAGGTAGTAGAAGAAGAAGATTAATTAATAAAGCCATGGAAACTTATTAATCTAAAATTAACTTATAACAAATAATTATTATAAAAATGACATGATTTCATATTTGTATTTTTGATAAAATTTATTTAAAAATACATTTCAATATATGTAGTAACAAATAAACTAAATAATTCTTTTATTATATGAGTACCTACTAATTGACTGATATTTTATGTAGAAACTGGAAAATAAAGAAATAAATGACAAAGACAAACCGTTCACGAAAAAAACCATCACTTTCAAAGACGCTATGAAAGATATGGCAAAGTTTGGAACTAACAGGTGAATACACTATCCATACTAATATTATAAATGCTAAAGTAACTCTGTCTGTCTGTTACGCTTTCACGCCTAAACCACTGAACAGATTTTAATGGAATTTGGTACAGACATAGAGTTGACCTTGAGAAAGAACATAGAATAGTTTTTATCCCAGACTTTGGAAAGGTTCTCTTGGAAACGCGATATAACCGAACACCACGCGGGCGAAGTTGCGGGCGTAAAGCTAGTGATATACATATAAGAACAATTTTTGTATTAAAATGACGGCTATATTATTATAAAACTAATATTTTATTACGATGAATACACGCGAAAGTCGTAATCTCATTATTATAAATTTTTATGTTGAATAGGATTTAAATATTAATAACATTATGAAATTTACTAAGTGTTATAAAAATAAAGTTATAACTTATAAGTCCGTACATCAATCTCGCAAAAAACTATTTTATACTTTAAAGAGAAATATTAAACTTTATAAGTTACATTCCTTAGACACTTAAAATAGATCAATATATTCATTTAATATAAAATTACTTAACGTTTTTGTGACAATTACTTCTCAGTAAAGTCTAAATGTAAAGTATTTTCTTACATATAGCATACTTTTATTAGTAACGGCCGTCTGAAATGCGACATGCGATAGGCGGACCAAAAAACTTAACGCGATGTATGGTAAATTTTTTTATGACGTATTATATTCATGTTCTATCATTTACAGTGAAAATCCAGTTCATCCGTTCAGAAAGATGATTCAAGCAAAACCAGACACCCCATCGTCTTTACCGCTAATTAGAAAGATCAACTAAATTAGTTATAAATTCACTTTATTATAAAAATAAATATTTATTCATAAACATAATCTTTTTATTAAGATCCCAATTATTATCCAATCTATTTGGATTTCAGTACATTTTACAATATTTCTAGAATAGAAAGTAACTTCACGTGTATGACATTTAAATCGTTTGTTTGACACCAAATCTTTCAAAATATTCGTTTCATCTAAACTGTTTTTTGAATTGTAAATATGTATTAACAACTTTCTGCATATTTAGATGTTTTTTATATAATTACGTAGGGTGGCAACCGGAGGTTCCAGGAAAACAACGAAACATACTTATATGTATATTAAAATACGAATTACATGTTAAAACTTATAACCTATACCTAAGACTACATGATTGACCCGATGTTAGGATGATAAATGACAATGATATTCTATTGCTTGTATGGGGTAAGGAATATTCTGGTTCACACAGCTTGGTGTTCGTTCCGCGGAGTCAGCAGCGTCACTATTTAACCCATACAAAGATGTCGCCCCGGCGATGTTCAATTATTTCTTCATATTATGTAACGCGTAGGGGAGAACAGGGAAATGGGAGCCTACTAAGGGAAAGTTGTAATAAAAAGCACATTACTCAAAATTCTTGTATTTTTTTATTATAAACTCTTACCTTTATTATAAGAGAATACAATAATTATAGTTATAATCAACTACAGACATGTATTAGGGTACAATGACAGTTTTACAAAAAAAGTCAGTCGCTCCTATTACCCGACGAATGCGGCTAATGAGAGCCCATTTAACGATCATATGGGAAATGGGAGCCATTATAATTACTCTTAAAAAAAAATTAACAAAACGCACTATAAATGAGATCTTAGTTATTATAATTATTAATAAAATGAAACTATTTGTAACACAAATTAAAATGAAAACAAATTCAAACAAAACGGAGATAAAATATGAAATTATTAATGGAAAACAAATGATCCTGATTTACGGATCCAAACAAAATGCACAAATATAAGTATCTGGACTATCACTACCAGTACACTCTTTGTGGGCCCAGTTTCCGCAACTTCTGCATCGGTACCACATCTCTCCATTTTTTCCAAGATCTAAACAAATTGCACATAAATTCTCCTCTTCAGAATATTCTGACTCATCATCGCAGATAGCATTTTCGTCGATTTGGTCAAGAGATGAGTTTTCATCATCACTTTTAAACAAATATTTTGTTGCCTTTCTGATCCTTGTGTTTCTGGTTGTAGTCTTCTTGCTTTTAATCTCTTTATCTTTGGTATGTTTCTTCTTAATACATTTTCCTTTGGCACATTTTCCCTTGACACAATTTTCTTTATCACAGTTTCCTTTATTTTTCTTAATTGTCTTTATCTTATTCTCCTTTTCAGTTCTTTTTCTCTTCTTTTCTTCAAATACTGCTTTCATTGGAGTGCTTGTTATTATTTCAGAATGCTGTTTGTTCTTCAACGGTTTTGTTTTTTTGAGAGATGAGTTGTTGGGGCAGTGGGCTGACAATGGAGACAACATTAGCAAAGTCAATATTGGGCGGAGTTGCGATAGGTCTGATAGTGTGTGATGATGTCGATGGAATAGAAACTGGAGTTACAGCAGCTTCCCTTTGAATAATTTCCGTTTCAATTTGCAGATCACAAAAAATAGATGGACTTGTTGCAGGGCTAGCATGTGGTTGCTCAGCCTGATTTGATGTTGATGGAATAGGAGTGACACTAGTTGGCTGCTGTTGAGCGTCAGCCTCAGGCACAGCTGATCTGGATTCCTCATTAATGAAGTCATCATCACAAAAAACTCCAGGATTCATAGGGAATATACCTGTAGCTTTAAAGCTCGATACTCCTTTTTCTATAGAAGCAACTCTAGTATAAGCTTTATTAAACAGTCCAGCAATGTCGTATGGAGTAATTTTTATCAAATTTCTTGATTTTATATACAAGTTGCACTCTTTGTTATAAGCTCTTTTAAGTGGGGAATAAAATGCAACGTCAAGGGGTTGTAGACGGTGAGATGAATGTGGAGGAATGGTTAGCATTATGACATGGTTCTCTTTTGCCAATTCCCAAGCTTCGAGAGTAGCATGACTATTGTGATTATCCAATATTAGCAATACGGGTGTTTCAGCAGCAGGTTTGGCATGTTTAATAAAATGATGAAGCCATAAAACAAATATCTTTTCGTTAGTCCAGCCATTATGTGAACATGTATAAACGGCTCCCACTGGTCCATCTTTTTCCAGCTGTGGTGAGTGACGTTGCCGGGGAAATATGAAAAGCGGAGGAACGAAAGATCCAGCTGCACTCATAGCACATATTACTGTGACTGTCTTACCTCTTTCCCATGACGTTACAGACCCGACACGTTTTTTGTCCTTTGGGAGCTATAATTTTTTCAGTCTCTTGGACAGTCGTTATACCAGTCTCGTCTACATTGTAAATCATTTGAGGTTCAAATCTATGTTGCTCCATCAATTTTTCCAAGTTATTGAAAAAAAGCGTTATCTCAGTCTTGTTAAATCCGAGAATTCGGTTAATACTGATGGCTTCAGGCTTTCTAATACTTAAGTCTGGATGACGCTGCAAAAATCCAGCCAGCCAATCTTTTCCTGCAGTTTGATTGTCTTGGTTAAATCGTTTCTCAATACCTAGTTGTTTAGCTACACTGTAACATACTTTGCGAAACTGTTCTCTTGTTAAACCATAAAATTTATTAGACATAGTCCGAAGATGGTTAGCCAGTATTTCTTCTTGGGCAACGTTAAATACAGTGGATCTTCCCAGCTTAGGAGAGTGTTTGTAGCTACTATCGCCAGCTTTCGCTAAATTGTACCTCTTCTTTAGAGTGCTGTAAGGAATACCTGTTTGTTGAGATACTTTGTACACCGAAATGCCTCCTCTTTTGAGGACAGATACTGCATTTTCTAATGAATCCACTGTCCAAGAAGCTTTTGTGGTTGTACGAGTCCTTTTACGTGGCATCTAAAACAAAAAAAAACCAAGGCATTTCATTAATAACTACTACGGGGTAATGGTAGCTATGTCGGGTAATGAGAGCCTAGCTAGGCTACCATTAGCCGCCGACCACCATTTTGAAAAGTAATAATATATATATGTAATTCTATTCTCAATCGCAATCCAACTAATTAGACTTAATAGTAAATGAATCTAGGGATATAATAAGCATAAATACAATAAAATAAGAATATAATTTCATGCTTACCTTGATGCTGGCAATCGGCAATTTTTTGTAAGCGTGAAGCGAAGAACACTCAACCGTCTCTCGTGACTAAACGAATGGCACTAACGGTTCGAGCGCGTCAAGTGAAGTTTACCGAGTGTTGACGAAGGCAGCCGAGTGCTTACGATCGCGCAAACGTGCCTACATTCCGTTCAATCACCGTAGCTCTCATTGCCCGACCGCTCTCATTACCCCGTGTTCCCCTACGTAACAATATCAATTTGTCTATAGCATTACATATTTCATTCGAACCCATTATAACAAATACTACTAAATGTTCGATTATCGACATGCGGATTAATTAAAAAAAAATTGTTTCCAAATTTTCAAAGCACATACTTAGGCGAAGTCTAGCATTAAATTTTTTTCAGCAATAATTTTCTATCTATTATTATTAATATGTATTTAGAAAGTCATACAAAGCCAAATAAACAATGTACATACAACAGAAGAGGGAATAGTAGTCGTTATAATTACTTTCGCAGCTATTTACACATCCCTATAAAAACTCATAATGATGTAGGTATCTAATCCAAAATATATAATTTGTCAATACTGACATTTGGAGTAGGTACTTTATTATACAGTTATAATGAATGAAACATAATTATTTAATATTTATGTTAAAAAATGATTAATAAATTTTCTTAAGCAGCTTACTTAAATATTTAGAATAATATATAAATAAATGAGAACTTTATTACGATATAGTCTTTATAACTACTAGCGACATCTAGTTATACTTAAAGAATAACAACAAATCACATTTTAAGTTTTTTAATTACTTTTTTTTAACAAAATAAATAACTGTATTCTGTAAACAACAACTATATTTTCTCTTTTTAATTTATACAATTATAAATATTTTTTTTCTTCTCAAATATAATTCTTGCATTACAACAGAAGAAATTAAGTCTTATATCGTTTCATCATATCAAAACAAAACAAAAGGTAGGTATAACACCAACTTCCCCAGAGAAAGTGTATTTCATTTCATAAAAATTAGCTTAAAAATAATTCATGTGAAGTATTGTTTTAAATTAGATGCCGCTAATTATGTTGTGAGGGTATTTTTATGCATACTAATAACATGACTTTTGTAATCATTTAATTATTTTGCGTGCACGTGCTAACGGTTATAAATAACAATGGAAGAAGATGATAAAAAGAACAAAGTGTTTTCTTATAGCAATCTGGAAAATCAAACATATCGGTATTTACAACATTTAGCTAAATCACTTGAACTACCGGCGAATTTTAAGGTAAAATTTTCATTTTAATAACCATATTTACATCTTGTATGTTCCTTGATAATTCTATAATACGATATTGTATATATTTCCACAATTAAATTAACTATCCAATTAGGCACTGTATTAAGGATAAGCTATCATAAATTTAAAAACATTTAAAATCTGTATTTCACACTAGAAAAACTTACATTAAATATTTATATTAATTTGCAAACCATGTATTAGATATATTTTATTTTAATGAATAAAAAGTGTTTAATATTGGTATATTGCAAGTTGTAAATTTACCAAAATTATATAAAGAAAATAGTATTAACATTTTTAGAGAACTTAAAGTTTCTTAAAATTCATTCCAGAAAATATACCTCATAGAATTAATACTAGCCAAAAAACACAACTCAGATGTTGAAGTTAACAATATAATTAAAAGAGTTAAAAATGAAAGGCTTCAACTTGTGTATGCAAGAAAAGAATGGTTGAGACGTAAACAGGTGAGTTATTATATTTATAAATTAATTAAAATACTTATCATTAATAAATAAAAGTCTTTAAGATAACTTAAATGATTTAAATACATTTAAATTTTAAATGAATTGTAAAATATGTAATGAAGTAAAGTCTTGTATAAGTGTAAAACTACAATTACATTCATTTTTAAAAATAGAATATAATTTTTGAGAAACACATTTTAAAAGTTCTTTTTGTATATAGCATATTCTATATTGTATTTGGGAATTTTTAATTTTACATTTAGTTCCTATTTACATTTAATTATTAATATATTTATTTTCTTACAGACAGTTCAGAGATCTTCACCACCGATAATGTCTACACCGAAACGTTCCAGTTACAGCCCTGAAATGAGAACAATATCATACAACCCTAAAAGAAACTTACTTAGAAATATTTCCAATAAAAATTCATGCGACAGAGTCTTAAGGAGCTTTGATATGAAAAATTTAACTTCAAATTATAATGCCATAGAGAATTTGAACAAAGAGTCAAGTATAAAGATCTTAGCCAACGGGGGATTCCCACAAATTAATTTGGCTCACTGTGTTATGAAAAGACATAAGCCGAGCATTCTGACATCAAATACGGGATTGAAAAGGCAGTTGATGCTTACATCGGCAATGGTGAGATATATTATTGAATTACATATTTATAAATACAAAAGCTTATAAGGACATATGAATGTTAGTTACTAAGAATAAAAAAGGAATTTTTCCATATATTAACTTAAATATATACTTATGCATAATTCACACACTTATGTAACATTGAATCTCCTTATGAAAAAGATTTCCTTAATATTATTTATATAACCAGTATTTAAATAGTTATACTATACTATATTTTCTCGTGACTTTGTCTGGGTGGATTTCTTAATATGGAGACAGAAGTATGGTGTTATAATAATAGTTATTGTAACTAACCATAAGCGCCATCTATCGTGTTTATCAAGGCACTTCATACACAATACAATTAATATACTGCGATCTAACAGATAATTAATGAAATTCCGATCTAAATTATGTGCTATGCTTAGTTTGATGCGTTATCTACATTACTATTGAAATTTTATCTAAATGCGCTCAATAGTTTTTTCATTTAAATGAAACTTCTTTTTGTAAAAAAAATACATACTTCCCAAGTTTCGGCTACTTTTTTCTTTCTCCATTTATATGTAGTCACATAGTTTATCACGAACTGGTAATTAATGTTTGTATCTCGACCAAAAGAAAAGGTACATACTTAAACAATTTATTTTATTTAATATGGAAAAGGTTTGTGTGAAAAAATGTAACACTTTTCTTCATCATTTTATTTAAAATTGTGCGATAAATGTTTTTTTTTTTTAATACAATACAACCATTTTGTCTTTGATAGTGCTATGTGTAAAGCACTTTAAATACAATATTTAGTATCCCCTAATTATTATTTTTTCATTAGTATAATTTAGAATATCATGATAGCTTCATTGTTAAACAATTTAAACGCGATATTCCATTACGAATTTTTCAGTTATACTACTAATATTATAAATGCGAAAGTAACTCTATCTGTCTGTCTGTTACGCATTCACGCCTAAACCACTGAACTGATTTTAATGAAATTTGGTACAGAGATAGAATTGACCTTGAGAAAGAACATAGAATAGTTTTTATCCCAGACTTTTGAAAGATTCTTTTGGAAACGCGATATAACCGAAAACCACGCGGGCGAAGCTGCGGGCGGAAAGCTAGTTATAATATAAATATTTATAACACACTAATTCTCATTAAACCGATGAATTAAAATAAAAAAAACATTTTCCAGGATTCCATAGATTCTCCGGCGAAACGAAAACGAACATTAAGCGGCATCTATCCAATACACGATTCAATACCAAGAAACTTAACCACAGATAGCGTTTGTTTGAGAAAAATTGACGGCAGTCTAGCAAAAATAAACGCACTAATACAAAAGAGGAACACTACTATACCGACACAGAAAAATAACTACAGAAACCAAGACAATAAAATACAGGAAATAACAAATAGTGTTGAAACAAACAATAATATACAATACCCAAATATTTCGAGTCTGAATACAAATATACCTAACATGAACGATGTCGACTTATACTCGATATGTTATCACAAGAAGATAAAAGAACAAATAAGATGCGAAAGAATAAAGAATGTATCTGAAAGTCAGAATCTACCAAATATTAATGATGTTTTCAGTCAATTCAATCATATGAACAGAAAGGATCTTACTACGCCCTTATATGTACAAGTTAGTTCGGATTCAGAGAGAAGTATGACTTATTTACATTAATAAACATATATATATATCCCTACTAATATTATAAATGCGATAGTAACTCTGTCTGTCTGTTTCGTTGTTGTTAACCACTGAACTGATTTTAATGAAATTTGGTACAGAGATAGAGTTGACCTTGAGAAAGAACATAGGGTAGTTTTTATCCCAAACTTTTGAAAGGTTCTCTTGGAAACGCGATATAACCGAACCGAAAATAGAAAAATAATATATATTTATTTATACAGGGTGACTGGTGAATTACTATCGATATTTGAGGACGTGATATTTGACGATCATATATGACAAAATAAAAATTAATATAACATAAATATTAATAAACTTCTGAGTAAAGTTGACCAAAAGTTATGTAATTAATTACGCATCGTATGAACACCCTACAGATTAGGTATACACACACACACACTCGCGCGCGGCGGCGTGTTGTTGTATCAGCACGCCCCCGCACGCGTCCACACTTGGAACACTTGGAACGTGTACACACTTTATTTATTTATACGGAAATTTGGTCAAAAATTAAGTACCTATTTTTTTTTACATAATTCGAATGAGAATCATGTACCGAGTATGCTCCTTAAATATTGATAGTAATTCACCAGTCACCCTGTATATATTGAGATAAGATTTTTATACAGCAAAATCATTTTTATCAACAATAATTCTGTGATTCTATTTCATCTATTATTGCAATAATATCATAGAAATTACCTATATTTGATGTATTTTAATGAAAATTATATATTTTTTTTCCAGCACAAAACTACATGTACAATATGCCTCATAACTCCAGCGGCGTCTTGTTGGAGACTTTATATAACTTTAAAAATGAACACATAACAAACACTCTGTTACTGAAGATAGCTTCTACAGCGAACACGAAATCCGTTTTTAGCACTCCTACTGTTGTTACAGCGTGAGTATATACACACACACGCACATACACACACACACACACACACACACACACACACGCGCACACACACACACACACACACACACACACACACACACACACTCACTCACGCATACACACCAAATATACCATTAATTCTATAACCACCATATACTTAATATAAAGTTTATAAAAAGTTGAACTAGAAGAACACCCAAGTTCCACTGCTTTAAAATTATCATTTTTTCCTATTATAACACTAAAATCCTTATTAAAATTATTATAAATAACAATTTCATCATTATTATGTTGTAAAAGTCATTGCAAATGCTTTGCTTAAATGTATATCATATAATTCACTTATGTTTACTTATATCTGCACTGCTTATTTGTGAATGTTTATACATATGTATATTATTTTAACATACATATGTATTAATCCTCGCTTTGCATGTCCAGAATGCCGCAACCCTCCTCTGTTATCGCCGAAGCTTACTCCTGTAAGTCTATCTTATACATTTTTCATGCATGCATGATTCTATCATGGTTTTAATTTTCAAAATATATGCAAACATCATGCACGTGTATTTTTTCTGAACTTAGAATATTGAAAACAATTAAATAATATATCAATGATTTATTGTATATAAATATGTCTAATGATTATTTACAATATTAACTAGGAAATATACTTTCGCATTTTTCCAAGTTAAATAAAACTATCTTAGCTTTTCAGTACAACTTTTGAAGATAAAATCCATTTTAAAGCCCCAATACTGAAATTGGTCCAATCTGAATTTGTTTTGATGAAAATAACTCCATATAATTGGTCTATCAAACAAAAATTCTCGTTCTATTGCACTTTAAGTTGTCAAAATCATCTCCATGTATGAATGACCTAGGTCATCAGTATAGTGTTAATAGCTTCACTCAATTATATTAAAAATTTCATACAGCTAATCTCTACTAATATAAATGCGAAAGTAACTCTGTCTGTCTGTCTGTTACGCTTTCACGCCTAAACTACTGAACTAATTTTAATGAAATTTGGTACAGAGATGGAGTTGACCTTGAGAAAGAACATAGGATAGTTTTTATCAAAGACTTTTGAAGGGTTCTCTTGAAAACGCGATATAACCGAACTCCACGTGGGCGCAACCGCGGGCGGAAAGCTACTATAAGCATAATAAATATTAAGTATTATAAGCATAATAAATAAGATCATATTTATCATCTCGACTCGATCACGATTGCAAAGTCACCGAAACGTTAGCAGTATGTAGTTAAAATAATAAGAATTATTAGTTTTATTTATATACTTATTAATATCTTGTTTTTTTTCTTCAAAGCTGAAAGTCGTAGGTTGGAGGACATGTATGAGTTTCTTCAATTCTCAGAATCAACATTAAGAAGATACTCACAAGGTACTAATATCATATTACGTAAATATTTTGGTTTGTGTGTAAATATGGAATATTAATATATTTCATAGAATAAAATATTTTGTAAGAATTTTTTTTTAATATTTTTATCCATTTTTTGTCTATAAAATAGGTACACAATTAAAGAAATTTTTCATCTTACACACATTTAAATCTTCTATTTCAATAGTAATAATAAATCTTGTAACCTATTCACCTATTAGAAGTCAAAATTGTGTTGTTGTAATATTAAATTATACATATGTATGGCAAATATTGTTTCTAATATGTATATGTTGTATATTTCAGATCCCGATACTCCAATGTCTCAGAGCTCACAAGATATAAGTACGTGTAGTGTACCGGAGATGATTGAAGACGCTATGGACATTATAAGAGGCGACTCGGTAATACTATCATATTATATATATACTAGCTGCGCCCCGCGGTGTTTCCCGCGGATTTCCGGGATGTAAAGTACCCTATATTTTATTCCTGGACGTAAGCTTCCTATACAAAATTTTATCGAAATCGGCTCAGCCGTTTGAGCATGAAGAAGTAACAAACATATACACACTCACAAACTTTCGCAATTATAATATTAGTAGGATGACTAACAAAAAAAACACATAGTTGGGTTTTTGAATTATTTTTTTTTTTTTGTGATAAATGGAAAGATCATATATAAGTTTAATAACAAAACTATTTTTATTTTATTTTTTTTTGCAATATTTAAAAAGTTATTTCAAAATAAAAATTAAATTTTAAATTCAGTACCGAAGACAAGCCGACAGCTCGTGAATAAACCCGAGCGCGTGTGACGTCACAATGTTAGTTTTTGCTCATTGTAGCATACAGAGATATAATAATTAGTACAGTGTTTTGAGTTTTTATCTAGTAAATTCTGTTGGCATTGTTAAATAATCAAAAGTTTTGTACCATTATGTACAAAGACTACAAAAAAACAACTCCTGAAAAAATGTTTTTAAATGTTCCACAAGACGAAAAACGTCGAAAGAAATGGTTTCAAGCAGTGCATCGAGATTATTCAAAAACAAAATCATTTTTTTTTTGTTGTGAAGATCATTTCGTTGTAAGTTTTCATAATAGTATTGTTATTAATTATTATTTATCTAAGTGTATAAATCGAATAAGTATAGTTCAATAATTAATTTTTTTACCTGGGCTCCAAATCATAACCTTTAGAATCGTAGCATTAAAAAATTTTAATTGATAATTCAAAGCGATTAAATAGTAAATCTATATATATGTTTGTCTAATAATTGGACTTCAATTAATAGATATTTTCATAATTTTATAACATTCTAGGTTCTGTATCAGACTACATTTAAATTTTTAAAGTACATATATGTTATTTTGGTTTTTTTATAATGTTATAATAACATTTTATTAATAATGATTTAATGAAATAATTATTAATTATATTTAATAGAGAATAAATACTAATTTTCATTTAGAATAGTATTTTTTGACAGACTTACCTTGATGTCTTAGCACCTCGAACTTCAGCAAAATTAAACCGCACTTTTTAAAAAATTAGTTATCATAAAAATATATTAACATCAGGAATATTATCCGATTTTGCTTTTATAAATCCTTTATCACACATAGTCGAAATAAACTTTTCAAATCGTTTTTCACTAATAAATTTGAGATATTTTTATCAAGTTAAAGATAATAGCCATAAACACTGTACTATTATGAAATTGCTTTAACATTATGACGTCACAAGTATGCTGACCAATCATGGCGCGTTTACAGTCACGTGATATATTTTTGAATTTTATCAATTTTTAATTGTTTATAATTAATTTAAAAAATATATTTCAAGTTTTTTGCATTAAAAATCCAATATAATTAATAATAAAGTTTTAAAATACATAAAAAAAATCAATACTTTTTTTTTTTTTCAAAAACCCAGTTGTCTTATAAAGCCAGTAAAAATTAATAAAATAATTATCATACCTTCAACGTTACTTCGGCTGCGTTCGGGAATATAAAGTTGCAGTTCAAATAAAATGTATATATTAAATAGAAAAAAATAAATTAATAATTCACATACAAAAGTCAAGGGATGATAGCTTATTTCTATAAATAACATTACATATTTGAAAAGTCCTGAGTTCAGCTTGTATCTATGAGTTATTCATTCTTTTTTGTGTAGTTAAAATTTAATCCAATAATTATTCTTCAGCTAACTATTATTGGTAAAATATTATCAAAGGAATGTAACAAAAATATGTTTTCTGTACACGTTTAATTTATAAAAACCTGTCTTCTTAACATAAGTTAGAATCTTCAACCCCAATACAAACTGTTGGTATTTTTTTCATTTATAACATATATAGATATCGGGTGAAGATTTATGACTAAAAATATTAAAAGTGCGTGGAGAAACTTCGTAATATTAAAATGAAAACAAGAAGGGCTAGAAAATGATTTTTAAAGGATTTTTAGTGTTTTTTTTAAACAAACTTAACAGTTCGAGCGAGTGTTAAACGTTTAACGCACCCTGTTAGAAGTCGCAAAAGTTTCACCTCATAAATGGAAATTAATGTTTAGTTTGACATATCTATGAGATGTTATTGTACTGGAATTAATGGCTTTCAGTAATTTAATATTATTGATATATAGAAATTATTACAGAATTTAATCTTAATTAATATCATTACAGAATTACATGCAACAGATAGAAACAGAATCTGTGAGATGTGTTCTGTGTCACGAAGAAGCTAACAAACTTACTATAGAAGGACATGTGAGAATGGTATGAAAAATATATTGAAATACTTGATCATTATAAAGTTTTTGGTAATAAAATACTTATAAAAGAACAAAAAACAAAAAAATATGAAGATAAGAAGATAGTTATAAACATTAATTTGTTATAAAATAACAGCATAAACACGATAGTTAAATTCGCAGAGATATTAAACGCAATACTTTAGTCTCAGATGCAAATCCAGATCGTGTCTTATCTATTATCTATATTTTTAATTCCAATCTTTATTTATATATTAGTTTAGCTACATCAATGTAATTATATAGGTAGCAACCGGAGGTTCCAAGAAAACTACAAAACTTACTTATATGTATATTATAATAAGAAATTAAGAATTACATCTTAAGACTTATAACCTACTAGCCTTCCGCCCGCAGCTTCACCCGAGTTCGCGCGTTATATCGCTTTTCTAGAGAAACTTTCAAAATCTGGGATAAAAACTAACCTATGTTCTTTCTCAAGGTCACCTTTATCGCTGTACCAAATTTCATTAAAATCAGTTCCGTGGTTTAGGCGTGAAAGCGTAACAGACAGACAGAGTTACTTTCGCATTTATAATATTAGTAGGGATACTTAAGACATGATTGCTCCTATGTTAGGATAGCAATACCATTCAAAAGCTTGTGTGGTATCAGGAATCTTCTGGTTCACCCGGCTTGAGTCAGCAGTGTCACTCGTTATATGATATTTTATCCATACAACGATTTTGCAAGGCGATGTTCATTTATTTTTATTATGTAACAGTCATGAATATTATTCTAATGTTCATATTTATATTCTCAGGAGCACCCAAATCATATCTACCGCGGTAGTAGCGAGTGTTCTGTGTCATTCCGTCTATCATCTCTCAGCGGTTCGTGGTCGAGCGCTGTGGTCGAACTGGATTCTGTTCTGTGTGTGTTGAACGTGAGGTGTCATGATGATCACCTGTGGGCAGTACTTACGGTGAGACTAACTTGATGTGACGTGACATGAAGTTTGTAACGCAATGTGACTTGACATGACGTTTGTAACGCAATGTTTGTACAGTGCGTTTGATTCAAGCTGAGCTTTGCATTTGTGTGAGTGCACACGGATAGTGTAGGTGTGATGTCAAATTTTTGAATGAAACATTCTTTTCTAGTTTTGAACCGGTTTGTACTGCTTTTACTTCGCCCCGCACCTTCCGCACTTCACCTTTTGTACTGGTAGAAAAATCAAATGTTGAAAACGCAATGTCAAGTGAAGAAGAATTTGTATAGTTTTTTCAAAATTTTTAGTAATTAATAAATTTTTTTCCTAAATATTCATAATATTTCCATCTGGCCTTTTACAAGTTATGCTTATTTTATAGCACTTATGTTATGTATCTGTTTAAAATATAATAATATTGAATTCAAAAAGTTTTTTGTCTCACTATACTTTTACTTTCACTCACACAAATGCAAAGCTCAGCCTAAGTCTAACGGACTATAACGCAATGTGACGTAATGTGACATGAAATAATTTCTTGTTGTGTAATGTAATATATCGTGACTTGACCAACACATCAAAATCCACCAAATCTTTCGTCAGTTATATCAATATAAAGTTATTTACACACAAATGTTTAATAATAATAATGGTTTATAAAAAATTAGCTTTTCCGAATTAAACATCAACATTCTAAATGTTACCAATGAAAAATTATATTTTTATCCTGCTAATAATAAAATTTTGTATAACAGACATATTTTTTTACAAAAATATACATACTCTGTGGAGTATTTTTTCTTGTGTCATGTTACCAGATGCTTAAACAATATTTTTATTTTCAGTCATTATCGTCTGATGCTGCACAGAAATTTGGCAAAATAACAATATATAACAAGTTAACGGGTGAACCATTCTATTGGAATGGTCCCATACATCCGTCATCCCATCAGCTTTATGAAAACAACATGAACTGCATCAAAATAGGTCTATCCAAATTAGATTTACTTCACAATAGTGCAAACATAAAATTTGTCAACAGCGAACTTGTGAATGAATCAAACAGCAAAGTTATTGTCGGACAGAAGATTCTAAATGACATAACAATAGATGTGTATGTGAATCTTTTTTGACATTTTATGTCATTTGTTGTGTCATATTATGTCATATGTTGTTTATATTAAGTTTTGATCCACATATTTATATTATCTATTTATAAGAGATGATTTTTTTATTTTTTGTCTTTATCAGAGTTGATTTTGATGGTTTTGTTTTTGTTTTGAATTGTTTATGAAGATGATTTAGAGATTTATTTCAGAAGAATTACTTACAGCGTTGATTATATTCAAATATATCTTTTTTGTTATTGTACCACGATTTTGTATAATTTATATCTTTATAATAGGTAGAAAGTAGAATAAATGTGATATTTAATTTATTTTCTACCTATAGTTCCATATTTACTTTTTGAGATTCCTTTCTTATTTTGATTAATAAGACGGGTATTGAATTGTTTAATTTTTTTGTATGTTGTATTATTTGTTACGAACATTTATTAAAACGAATCTATATTATTGTTTTTTATTTAATAGTCTTGCATGTTTCATATGAAATTGGGAGTAAAAATAAAGAAAAATTCTTTTTAAATACAATTGCGTAATCAAAGGTCCTAAAAATAATATAAGCGAATCACAAACTTAACTTTGTATTTGAAACACAGAAACAAAAATAGTAATTAGCTCACAAATAAATGTATTGCTAATAAATTTGTTATCTCAACTACATATTTAAATTGTGATATTGAAGTTTAAAAAAGCAAAATCACGTGAATTATGCTAGAATATAGAAATATTGTTAAATTATATTTTGTAAACTTATAGGTGGTAGAGCCTAGCTGTGGTCAAGTTACTACAGCTCGAACATGTGCTGGCTCGACCGTGGAAGTACCACCCTCTCACAGAAGATCGGCGTGAAGTAGTCTTTAATGGCTGCGTATCGTCCGATGAGTGAGAGAAACAGTTGCCCTTTCCTTTTCCCACAGTTTCCTCTCTCTCTTCCAAAATCAAGATCGGCAAACATCCCTTATGTTTCAGATGTCCATGAGCTATAGTCACTACCTTTCATCAAGTAGGCCGTCTGCTCGTTTGCAGCTTTGATATAAAAAAAAATAATAAGATAACTTTAACATCACATTAAAACTTGTAGCTTACCAGAAGTTTGCAACATAACACCACAAACAGAACTTTTCAGTATTTCATACAAAAACTCACGTTTATACTATCGGGAAAAGATTTATGAATAAAAAACTTAACGCTTCATATGTATGACGATAAGAAAATAAAAAACATAAATCCTTTTTGGTTGTCATTTCTTTTATAAACTTAGTCAAACGTCACTTGAAACTGAAATCAAAACCTGAGTTTCTTTCATATTATTTCGAATATTACTTTGTAAATACATAATAAAATGTCCAAATTCGTCCAACCGCCTCAACCACCGCGGCAGAAAATACCTAAAGATGGTCCCGGACCCAGGGGAGCTCCTGACTGTTATTATGTAAGATATATAATGTTATATAAAATAAATATTAATGCATAAAGTTAAACAATCCTTTACAATAATGGCAGCTCCTTCTTATATACTGATTTCCAAAATTAATTGGTTTTTTTGAACCACTGAAGCTACATTTGTCTTTCGTGACATTTTACGCAGTTTATACTAGTTTGGTCAAAAAATATAATGAGATCACACTGTGATAGTTATTATTATAGTAACGAAAATACTTATCCGATTCCACGTTTATACGTCTTTAGAATGCTTCGTGTATTGCATTTTTATTATATTTTCTTTCAAAATAACATAACATTACTCATCATCTAAGATATGTTGATTTAGACATCAAGAGTTCTCAACTCCACATTCCGCTACGTGAAATTTGTGAAAAAACTTCGTGCTCTAGAGGAAGATCAACGAAAAGGAGCTGAGAATAAGTTGAAAGAACTCAAAGATCAACAAAACAGTGACTTCTTTATAAGATGTGATCGAAGGTAGGTAATATATTGTAATAATCTGATCATGTTATGCCTATTGTATTTAAATATTTTTCGGATTAGGTCTATCATAATAAAGTCCTCGTAATGAGAAAATAAATGTGAAAAATATTTCAGTCGCATTATTAATTCAATTTGAATGAAATTTTTGTTTTAGTTAATAAAGGAATTTTTATTTCAAAATTTCTGATTTCCATGACTTCTCTAGAAGTTACAAGAAAAAAATCTTTACGACTTTTAATCATGTTATTTAGGTAATGTCATAACTCATATTTCATACAATGCTTGTAGCTATCAACTCCGTCATTACAAAATGTTGAGATTTTAACTGACTTCAAATAATTACTTATTGTAAGCAATTGTAAATTTTTCATTCAAAAGTATATTATACTTAAAAATACACTTATGTATTTTACTTCTTCTACCTATCTTTTTGTCGCTCTAAGCTACGGCGAGCAAGTTTTTTATTTATTAAACGCTTAAATCTAAATAATATATTATAATGCCTAATAATATATCGAAAAATGCTACAATTATTTTTATTAAAAACGACTAAGATCAATTTAAGATCATTAGAAAATAATTTTGTTTGAACCGGATTAAATATTTTTTTAGGAAATAATTATTTACGATTTTTTTAAATACGATATATATACTGAAAGATAAAAGTATATTTCTGCTACAGATCTCTAATAAACAACGTGGCGCGTCGCGTGGACCTGTGCATGGCGTCGTATGAAGATGATTTGAAGGAAAAAAGAAAAAGGTTAGAAACGAAATTCATTTCAAATATTTTTTTAAGTTACAACTAAGACTTTCGTATTAAAAATATTTCATGAGTTTTCATCATTATCTAAAGAATGTTGTTGATTTGAATTACATATAAAGTAAAACTTTTGTCTGTGGTTGTTTCTGCTTAAAAAATAAAAAGTAAATGTAAATCAGTTTGGTTGGAAACACTGTGTCATAAAATATTTTAAGAGTTGATCTATCAACTATTTTTAATATAATGAATAATGATCAGTATAAAAAAACGAGACAAATCCTCTAGTCTCCATAAATATTAGACAAGTCTAATTGGTTTCCATCAATAAATTACTTTAATAACGATATATTAATCATAGTCGTCACCCATTCTTATTAGGCACAATATACTAAATAATTCCTTCTAGAAGTTTTCTTTTCTATACCATAATTACCTATATTAAAACATCCTTAAAAGAAAGAGACGATTCAAACCAAACACTTTATCCAAAAGACTAATAGATTTATACCAACGTGAGGAAGAAGATAATATTCGCAAGTTCGTGGTTCAAGCTCAGGCTGGCGCGGAAGCCGTGTGGAACGATAAGATGAACAGACTACAGTATCTGTTGGAAAAACGCAAGAAAGAACACGAGGAAAAATATAAAGATACGCCTCTGTTAGTAGTTATTATTTATTTATTTCAAAACATACACTATATTTTATAGGTTTTAAAACAAAGCTAATTACATTTTTAGTTAAGTGTTGTTTCAATTAAAAGTTATCACGGCACGGCAAAGGACAGTATTTTCTATTAACCTAACACAACATTATTTTTTTCTACTTCTATTTTACAAAAAGGGGAAACAAAAAATACTTCTAATAATACAATATAAAATGTAAATTACAAAAGACAATAACAAATTACTATAACACTTTGTTCATATAGATGGACTTTACAGTAGAAAATGTCTAAACGTTTTTGTATATCTTGCTTTCATTTTTGTTTTTGACTCTGTGTTACAAGTGGTGTTTTCGTGCCATACTAATTATAAACCATATATTAATAAATGAATTGCTGTTCGTTAGTCTCACTAAAACTCGAGAACAGCTGAACGGATTTATCTTATCTTAGTCTTGAAATGTTCGTGGAGGTTCAGGGAAGGTTTGAAAGCTGAAAGAAATTGGATCATTTCTGAGAAAACCCTAAAAATAGCCCCTTTCTATTGCATCTAATTTTTATGGTAAAACACTTTTTGTGAATAAATTCTGGTGGACCCTATATTATTTTGAGTAGTTTGTATAGATTATAGTTATTATACTGAACCATTGTCATTGTAATGGCAACATTTAACTATCAACTTGTATTTGAAAACTGTAAATAGTGGCTTCAGCCATTTTGTATTATTACTAAAAGTAACGCTGAACATTGAAAAACAAATCAGAAACTGTAGCTCGAATACTTCTATGAAATTTATTTTGTTTTGGAGCAGTACCAATTAATGCATTCAAATAATCTTTGAGACATATTCAGTGATCTACTAGCATTTTTCGATAGCCATGTAGCGAGTTACTTCCCTTTTTTTGTTTAATGCTTGATTAGGTCAAATAAACGTTTTTTTATAGATCAAAATGCGTGCACGTCCTACCCTGTATATACAAACTCCGTGCAAAGGAAGCCGAGGAAATACAATTGTATCAAATACGAGAGAAGCAAGCGAGGAAGATGGCTGAGATTGAACTAGACAAGATGTGGCACGAGGTCGCTATGAGGGAGGCTGAGGCTTTGGTAAATACAAGTCATATTATATATGTTTGTGTAGTGGCCAAAAACGAGGTTTTTAAAGAGTGACGTCAGCATAACTTTCATCACTTATGCCTTTCTTTTTGACCGTGGTCCGGCTGTCAGACTTCTTCTTCTTCTACCTGGCAATTTCCCAGCTATAGCCAGGGTCTGCCTCACATGTTTGAATAGTTTTTGGCTATTTGTTTTTACGATCGGCCGCCTGCCTGACATCAACCCTCTTTTGGGAATCAACATTAATCAGTGATGTCTAAATACTCTTAGAAAGTACATATGATTCGGAAAAACCACATTGGTACTTGCCCGGGCCAGGATCGAACCCGCGCCCTCGGCGACGAGAGACAGGCCCTTTAACCACTGAGCCACCACTGACTATTGAAGGTAATCGTAGACGATTTGATGGTCACTTAACTTTCAAGAGTTCCGATCCTTGCAACGGCTCGAGTGAGATTATTTTTAATCTGCACTCTCTGTTCTATTATTGATTATTCAAATAATAGTAATAGTGTCAATATATACTATATTTTTAGGCTTAAATGATGAATTTTATTTAAAAAAAAATGAGTAATACAAAATACAATTATTTATCGCTACAAAAATGAATCTCATATTTTTCGCGACCTTGAGGACGGTTTCTGAAACGTAACTGGAACGTCGTGAAATGTAGTATTTACAAAAATAATATACGCGTAGTATAATTCGCAAAATATTAGTTTCATTTTAATGAATACTCGCGAAAGTCTTAGATCTCATTATTTATCGCTATTTTATGAATTTAACTATGACATTTAGAACAAATTATAGTCAATATTCGTAATTAACAAAGAGGCATTAATCCCATAACATTAATCAATTGAATGTGGGTACACTGAAAATACCCACTGTAAATAGCCGACATTTTACAACGAGAAGCTTTAAGTACGAAAGCTAAACAGCAAATGCCTTGTCTTACGAACTATGTACCTTCACTTTTATAATATTTGTAGGGGGTCGTTTCTAAATGTAGTAAATAAACCCCAAATATTCTAAAAATATATATTATATATTAACAGTCAAAATGGTTACTAATTTTTAAATATTTTCAAGGCACAAAATGGTTACTAAGTCTTAAATTTATTTTCTCTTTGGTACCTACCAAATTTTTTTTATTATTTGATTCTCAAGCTATGTAAGCTATCTTCTAAGCTAGTTAGTTCATTACAATTAATATGACAATTTTAAATTTACGCTTTGTTTAAAAAAAATGTAATGTATTACATCTGCAAATATACTTCGTAAGTTCTATAATATGTTTTCTTTGTACCAGGCTGCTAGAATGGAACAAGACGCAATCGAACGTTTAAGAAGAGATCTAGACTGTAAAGAATATACGGACTATCAGCTCGAGCAGAGAAGAATACAGAAACAGAAGGAGAGGGAGATGTTAATAGAAGAAGCGAAGAGATTCAAGGCTATCTGGGACGAAGATATAAGGAAGGAACAGGAAGGTATTCGTATAACAAAAGACATATATTTCTTATTTTAAATGAAACTAATATTTTCATTTGAGATGTGTCTGTCCTCTGACAGACATTCACATCTCGTCTGCCCGTGATCACGGTTGCTGAAAAGTAGCCGAAACGTCGGGAGTATGTAGTTCATAATAAAAAATAAAAACGCGAAGTAAAATCCGAAAATATGAGTTTCAGTTAAATGAGTACTCGCGATAATCTTAGATCTCATTATAATTCTTCTTTTTCTTCCTTAGTCCATTTGGGCTAAGCTCTAGCTTTTAAGCATATTCTGCGTACATTCAGTCAAAAAAATGTAAAATTTATGGAGATTGATTTATAGAAAACTAGATTAACTGACAGTAGCTTACATCTCATTGTCGATGCGTCGGGAGCAATCCCTACTAATATTATACATAAATGCAAAAGTAACTCTGTCTGTCTGTCTGTTACGTTTTCACGCCTAAACCACTGAACTGATTTTAATGAAATTTGGTACAGAGTTAGAGTTGACCTTGAGAAAGAACATAGGATAGTTTTTATCCCAGACTTTTGAAAGGATCTCTTGGAAACGCGATATAACCGAACTCCACGCGGGCGAAATCGAGGGTGGAAAGCTAGTTTAAAATTAAAATACACGTGTTATCTACGAAAACTTAAGCTTTTGAGAGTGTATTCGCGGAAACCTCAGAAATTTGCAATCTTTGAACTAATGAATTATTATGTATAATGTTCGTATGAAGTAATCTATTTATATCACTTAAAATTATAATAAACAGTACATTTAAATGAATAAATCATTTAAGCTGAACGTCAAGCGGCAGAGAGAAGGAAGGAAACAGCTGTAGAAAGAAAAAAGATGATCGAAGAAAAGCATAAACTACAAGCTATTATGAAAGAACAAGATAATAAAGTTACAGACACGTGGGACGCTCTCGCGGGGCAAGGAAGAGAGAAAGAGATAGAAATGATGGAATTGAGAGGGAGGAAAGAGGTGAGATATATTATATATATCGACATTTTTCATCCTCAAGATTTTGCCAAATTTGTTAGGAAGTGTTTAGATGCTATTTACGACGAAGAACGATTGTAGTAATTGGTTGACAATTATTTATAGCACTCTACTTCCCTATCCTACCTAGATTAAGTAGATTAATATTGTTATCAGTTTTGTTTCTTAGTTTTTAACTTTGTTTTAACCTAGTTCTTTTTTGCTTTGTTTAATCTTAGTTTTATACGGTTTAGTCTATATTTTAGTAAAAAAAAACAATGTTGTATACACCTGTTAGTTTATACCGTTTAGTCTTAGTTTTATACCGTTTAGTTTGTATTTAAGTAAAAACACAATGTTGTATACCCCTGTAAAGGCTAATCATACTGGATTGTATATTTAGTGCATATAATATTGTGTTAGTTATTATGATAAGTCGATGGTGTATCTGAATAAGTAAATAAATATTGTGTTAACTATCGACATATACTAATGGACATGCCGTACGCGTATAATCTGCAGAATTTTTTTTGTTTGAAAAGAGTGAGAGAGATGGCCTATGCTTTTGTATAGCGCTATCTCTTTCCTCATAGATGATTGGCGCTCAGTTTTCATGACATATAATTTTTATATGGTTATAAATATATTTGAGAACGTTCTTGTATATTCGAGTAATGAGTTAAATCTACGAAATTAAAAAAAATATATTTCATAGATTACACGGATTTAAATTTATTGATTAAAATAATTAATGCTTCATTAATACTAAAAATGCTAAAAATCAGAGAAAGTGAGGTTAAACGTAAGGCTGTATACGACATTAGGAAATAATAAATTAACCAGATGGGTCTCATTACGTCTTAAGTACGGTACTATTTTGAGAGAGATAAAGATAGACCGAAACCTCGTTTCCTCTCTGTCTTTCAGAGTGCCACAATTCTCATCTCTAAGGCATGTCCATTAGTATATGTCGATGGTGTTAACTTTATATTTGGAAGAAAAGTTATAAAATATAACCTATAGACACTATCATTGGAAGTCTTATTACTTAAGATCTTGTTTAGATAATTTTTTTGGTATACTTTTTGCATCTACTTCTGACTTTTTTATCCACCAAAAAAAACCAACAAATTGGAGGTATTCTTATAATTCCTTAGTTAAATAGGGTTTTCGAATTATTGCTTTCATGCCATCTACAAATTATGTATCTTATTTAAATAACTTTTGGACGCTTTAAAATAATTTCAGAGAGAACTAGATATATGCAACAAGAATCTCATAGAATTAAAGAAACAATACGCTGAATGGGAGAAAACTAATGAAGCGCCCATGGCAGAAGAAGCGAGAAGGAGACAGGAATATATGGATAGAAAGAGATGCGAATATCTGAGCTGGGCGCAAAAAACGAATAAGGTAATAAAGGGTGTTATAATTAATAAGCCATGAATAGAATTACTTGGACTATAGGAAATAGAAATATAGTTCTTCGCAATGAGAAAAATATAAATGAAACCAATATATTTCGTATTACTACGTGTATTTTATTATTTTAAACTCCAAACGTTTCGGTTATTTTCTAGCAACCGTGATCACGGCCAGACGAGATAATGAAATACGTGCAGTAATCCTAATAATATTGGTTTCATTTAAATGAATACTCGCGAAATGCTTAGACCTCATTATTTATCAATATAACTGACGTGATTAATTTGTTTAGGATAACTAATGAATATTTCACAAGATATTATATCTTAAGATAGATCGGGCGATGCAAGGATGAATAAAAAATGTACATAATTTAATGTTAAAAAATAATGTACGGAAATTTTAATTATTCTAACAATTACATTTTTGAAGTACTTTCTTTGAAAAGGTTTTTATTATTTTAGTCAAAACAATTCTTAAGCCATTTTGATATTAGTAAAACGGATTTTTTGAATTCTAAAAGTCCTTTTCCCTATTTTAAATTCAAAATTATTTCGTTTATGACTCGCAAGTCCTCACCAAGTCTCACACTTGGTGAATTACTGTTTTAATTTTTTACCATTATAATTATCTTAGAGAATAATGAAACATTACTTCTTCGAACTAATACTATAATCAGTTGAATATGTATAATACTTTATTTGGAAAACCTATTTTAAAATTCTCTTATACATTTTATTATCTACATCCTTTATAGAACTTTGTATTATAGATAACTAGTATGAGAGCGATTATTTTTAATATTTTTACTCAATTAAATATATCTTGGGACTGTTTTTCATATGCATCAATTACTGTCTGTAATTTTCTAAGCTTCTCATGAAGTTGAACATTTTTTATAATTTATTTTTGTCAAAAGATTACAGGCAACGTAATGCAAAATAAGTAATAGTTATTTATTTTAAATGTACTCGATAAATAAATTATAAATTAATAATAAATTCATGTCTATACTTACCGCGATATATAAAACAAGTATATTTTCCCTAACCTAATTGCCTTTAAAGAATGTTCGCGAAAAAAATATTTTCCGTTTTTTAAATCTTTCATCATTTTATTTCGAAGTTAACGAAAATAATATTTGGAGATAGCTCGATTATAACCTTCTTTATGATGAAGATCGTTGATTAAACTTAGTACCTAAATAACAAAAATATTTCAGTATTATTTCAATTGTTTTCTCTACTATCTGTTTGTCCCGTCTAATCTATAAACTAATAATTCGGGAATTTACTTTAGGTAGGTATTTTTATAAAACGTAACTTAGGCTACCTTTTAAAAGACCTAAAAGAAAGTTCGACTAAATAATAGTATCGCTATAACTCCTTCAATTAAATTCCGATATTCAAAATATTCTTTTTGAATGCAAAGAGCATTGTCCTTAGGTAATCCGTAATTCCGCTAGCAAATCAGGTTGTATTTAAGGGAACTTGGAGAAATCGAAACAAACCTCATAGGAAATGATGACGCGTACTTATTTCAAAATAATTTTAATATGCGGGGAAATCCGCCTGAAAAACCTAATTAAGAAATAAATACAAAATTAATATTGCATTGACAAAGTTTTTGACAGAGGCTTACAAGAAAATATTAATTAATTTAATTTTGAAAGTAATTCTTATTTATATTTTTAAAGTTGACTTAAACCTTTTTTTATGGTCATTATTTAGATCATTGATTCACCAAAATTACTGTATTATTCTAAATTTTTCAAAATATTTTCCATACCAACCTTCTTACGGCTTATTATATAGATATGACCTCTAAGCAATTATTGTCTTTACCTTTCAGTTAGTTCTATAAAACTACAAAATATCCTCATTTCGTAAGAGATGTTAGAAAAATCCTTGATAATTTTATCCTAATTAAGGCCAATAAATAAATTGTTTTCCTATGAAATTACTGATCAATTATTTAATTAATTTATATATAACTAGCTGCCCGGCAAACGTTGTTTTGCCGTATATAAAAATAGGGGTTGGTGATAAAAAAGTAAACATTTTGAGTTGTATGTATTTTTAATGCTACATAAAAAAATACAAACAAAAAATTTCGTCCGAAAAAAAAAATTAAGGGTAACCCTTATGACTTAGGGGTATGAAAAATAGATGTTGGCCGATTCATAGACCTACTCAATATGCTTACAAAATTTCATCAAAATCACTCAAGCCGTATCGGAGGAGTTCTCTCTCTAACATCGCGACACGAAAATTTTATATGTATAAGATTTATTTTTACGCTAACTTTCCGCCCGCAGCTTCACCCGCGTGGAGTTCGGTTATGTCGCGTTTCCAAGAGAACCTTCAAAAGTCTAGGATAAAAATTATTCTATGTTCTTTCTCAATGTCAACTCTATCACTGTACCAAATTTCATTAAAATCAGTTCAGTGGTTTAGGCGTGAAAGCGTAACAGACAGACAGACAGAGTTACTTTCACATTTATAATATTAGTAGGGATTAAAATTCAGAATAATAACAAAAGCAGAACCAAGATTAGGTATATACGTGTATTAAGGTAGAGATTCATTTGTACTAAGACTTGTTATTCCGATGAAGTAATCAAGGTCAAACAAAGTCTAAGCACTTAATGAGATGTATATTTAAATACACCTTATCTTGTAAACAGTTTCTCGGTATATCAATGTAAAATCACATAAGTAAAACACTAAAATGAAACAAAATTATACTGCTCCCAAACACGCAATTGAAAACAATGCATGATTTCAGTTAAATATTATCCGAGGAGTATTCGTATACTTATTTGATGCTTATCAATAATGCTAGTATAAAAACAAAACAGTGTCTGTACCAAGGAAAATGAACGACCTTAGAAGCGCTATGCGTCATCGCACTATACTTATACGAATTGGAACTGAGACTTAATTTATGAGGAAATACGGAAAAGAACAACTAGGAAGCCGATGCACCAGTTTAAAACACAATATAATCACGTTCAGTGTCGTTGTACTCTCATAATACGTGAAATGAATTTGTATTTCGTTGATTGTTGATCAACACATTTGACAGCTTATAACTGTCAATTTGGCAGTTTTAATGTGTCAAAATATTAAATATGGCGCCGTTGATAATTTAGCAAAAACTATTTATATTTTTTTTCTCTATTACGTGCGTTCTTAAGTTTCAACATTCTTTCTAACACCTTATTAGAGATTAATATACTGGGTGACTGGTGTATTACTATCAATATTTAAGGAGAATACTCGGTACATGATTCTTATTCGAATTATGTAAAAAAAATAGGTACTTAATATTTGACCAAATTTCCGTATAAATAAATAAAGCGTGGACACGTTCCAAGTGTTCCAAGTGACTGGACGCGTGCGGCAGCGTGCTGATACAACACCACGCCACCGCACGCTTGTGTGTGTGTATACCTAATCTGTAGGGTGTTCACACGATGCGTAATTAATTACATAACTTTTGGTTAACTTTACTTAGAAGTTTATTAATATTTATGTTATATTAATTTTTATTTTGTCATATATGATCGTCAAATATCACGTCCTCAAATATCGATAGTAATTCACCAGTCACCCTGTATTTCTTATATCCTATTAACGTTTTGATGCCCCTAAGTTTGATATCCCATTTCACATGGAATTTAAAATACGACTTTTAATTTAAGTTACAATACTTCCTGAATATAACAATTTAACTCTCATTAAGTGATTTTTATTGTTGAATGTTTGTATGCGAGTCTTTTGAATATTTTATATCCACTTTGTACCGTAAAAACAACTGGCCATCTTAGTTATTCAACATGTTTAACCTAGTATGACGACATACATGTAATCATGTATATCATATATGTCGATTAACATATTATAATATATAAGTTTTCAGGCTAATCTTTTTAAGGTACCTTCATCGAGGTCCAAGCATTTGACCCGACCAATGTGTAGGTTTGAAAAAAGGCGTCGCAAAAATAATTACAGAATTTATTTTGTTCTACTTGATTTAAAATTTGATGGAATGAGAAAAATGTGTGAAAGTGTCGTTGTACTCAATCAAACTTTAACGTTTATTATCGTAGACATTATATGCAAAAAATAACCATTACTTTCTAACATTATCATATAAGTAACATACCTTATCTTAATGAAATAAGATTTTGTCCAATAAGTTTTAAAGATAATTCCAACAAATAAACTTTTACAGGAAGTCCGTGAAGCGATGGTGGATCAAATAAAAGAGCGCCAGGAAGCCAGAGAGAAGTTGAAACAGAAGATAGCTGAACAAGACGAGTACCATAGACAACTGTTCAAACAACTAGAACAATTGGTCGACCATAAACAAGTTACAGACGCACAGAGACGAAAAGAACACCAGAAGAATCTATTAGAACAGATAGAATACAACAAGATGTTAAAGGTTCATTATAATTATTATCGTTTTCTTTCCAATATATTGATTTATCTTGAATTCATATTTAATCAAGCGACTATCTTTCTGACTTTTATTATAATATCATAACCTCTGTATAGATGGCGCCACTGTTTGTAACTTTATATAACATTCAAGTTATCAACTTAGCATTTTTTTTATATCAAAATCAACATAGTATTTTTTTAATCAAAAGAGTATTTTCTCTTAGTTTCGATCACAAAGACTTAAATCGTCTGTTTATTACAATAATAGGTATTGTCTAACAATGAATGATGGGTTGGTCAAGTCATTTTTAAAAAAATGATGGTTTTAAAACGTCTACAGGCTCAGTAAAATCACCTGAGGCTTACCTTAATTATATTGAAAAATTTAACATTAGATCAAAAACAAGCACATTTTATTTAAAAATCATTCACTCCCTTAAAAATCCCAACCAAAGTTATATAATTGATTACAATTCAGATAATTTGAATGCAACTACGTCTTCATCTCATTGTGTCAAAGAAATTAAGTCGAAACATAAATATTTTAAACTAAGGTTTATTATCGATTTAAAATTGATAACTCAATATATTTTTTTAATGCTATTTCATTCATTATTATAGCATTATAGCATCAACAAAGATAACAAACATATTCTACTATTTTTTGAACAATTATTCGTTAGTTGAATATTTTAATATAAGAAAGTAACGCCATCTATATCGTCCGAGACGAAGTTTGATGACAAAAGTCAGAAAAATGGTTGCTTCACTGAATATGGATTCCAGATATGAAACAAAACGAGTAATATGAAAATTTCGTTTACACTAAAATTCTCTATTTATTGTTTTCATAAAAATTATAGTTTTTCCGAAATTTGAATGCCAAATTCAATTTGTAATTGCATGGTTTTGTTCTAACATTTATTATATTTTAAACTATGCAGTTGAAAAAATTAAAAGACGTGTCCTATGATTTATTCCAATTTAACAAAATAGATAGATCACGCTACAAGTTATTTTCAAACGTTGTTTATTATCTGTTTTCTAGTTTGTAAGAACTCAGTTATCTCAATTTTAAAATACGTACGTCGCTTTTGACCTTGAGTATATCTTAAACCTATTCATTTTACCTCATATACAAGCCATTATATAACACATAATAAAGAATATACATATATATAAGTTTTTTAAGCAATTATAAAGGTTTTTATCATTAACAATTTACGTTATTATTAATGCGTACCAAATCTTATAATATAGGAGCGCGCACGTCAAGAAGAATTGGAACAAATAAAGAAATGCCAGCAGGCCTCAGAAGAATACCAACAAGAAATAAATAGAATGCTATGCAGGTATGAAGATATTTAAATTTAGAACACGATATATAAAAACTTTTTGTATACTATTACTCACAAAATAGAATTTTAAAAAGTCATTATCTTTTTATTCGCTTACTTGTAAATTAAATACTATTTTAAGTATACAAGTATGATAATCTTCTATATATATAAAAATGGATTGCTGTTCCTTAGTCTCGCTAAAACTCGAGAACAGCTGAACGGATTTGTCTTATCTTAGTCTTGAAATGTTCGTGGACGTTCAGGGAAGGTATAAAAGGTGAGAAAAATTGGAATAATTGCCGGGAAAACCCTAAAAACAGCCCTTTTCTATTTCCCATACAAACGCTTTTTTTGACATTAGATTTGACAAATAACTAATATGTCAATCATTCTGTTTGATTGAAACAGGAAAAACCTGATTATTTATGGCCTCTAAGACGGAATAAAGTTCGCCTGGTCAGCTATACATATATTACTAATGACGAAACTAACGCGGACGAAGTCGCGGGCAAAAACTAGTGTTATATATATTTAATTAAAGGTATTTACATGTAATAATTGCATTATATAATGAGATGTAAATATAATCTGTGTCCATTAATATGAAAACCTCGTGTGTTGAACACACGTGGCGGTTATGGCAACAAATAGATTATATTTCAAATATAGATCGTATTTAGTTGCTCGGTACATAAGTAATTCACATTACATACTTTTATTTTTTTAATAATAAATATGTAATAATTTGAACTTAAATATTTTTAGTAATTATATTGTGTAATTATTATTTATCTAAAATGTTTTAAGATTTTTCTGACATTTGATTCACATATTTTATTGAAATCCAAAAAAGTTTGAAAACGAAATCCAACTCCTTTTTACTTTAATTAAAGATCGTAGGACATATATTTATTTATTTTTATTACATTAAGTTAGATTTTGTTTTCTGATTAATATTGTACATTAAAATCTAAAAAAAAGTTGCAAATGTAATATTACTACGCTCACTTTGTATTTAACCGTAATAATAATATAATTTAGAAACCTTGCGAAATGTTTTTAGTAATTGCTTCCGTAATTACCTAACGAGATTCCTATATTCGTCTTTTATTACTCATTATTGTAGAAATAAATACGACTTAAATTTTATTAGTCCAAGAAGGATTTATATGTAAAGAAAAGTTTGAAATTGAGAATTTTTTTTTTCTTTTTGTGGTCTTTTTAATTATTAAAAAGGGATAGTCACTACCATAAGCTTAAGTCAGTGGTGGCCTAGTGGTTAAAAGGCCCGACTCTCATACATGAGAGCGCGGGTTCGATCCTGGCAAGTACCAATGCGATTTTTCCGAGTCATATGTACTTTCTAAGAGTATTTAGACATCACTGATTAATGCATTCCCAAAGAGGGTTGATGTCAGGCAGGCGGCTAAAACAATTAGCCAAAACTATTCACAACATGTAAGGCAGACCCTGGCTATAGCTGGGAAATTGCCAGGTAGAAGAAGAAGTTATTATCATAGCTTGTATTAATAATAATTATATTTTCTAGGCCATTCTTCAGTGACGAGATACACCCGTTTATGAAACAAATGGCCAAAGGACTTAAGATGAGAGAAAAGTGCCCATGCTCCAAACCTGATTATTGCAAATAGTTTTGTTATTGTATATTATAATTGTTATTGATATAAAATTTTACGTTTAATAAATTATTTTTTATATACGTTTGCTTATTATTTATATATGACGATAATATGATGAATATTTAGTTTTTAATATTTAAACTTCAATTTGTACATTCTCGTCAGAGCGGAAAGGAAAGTTTAATGAAATTTAATATAAATTATAACTATAGTCTATAATTATATTTTTAAAATATTTATGGCCTTGTTGAATTTTTCAAAATGAAATAAAACCGTATTTATACCTATAGAAATAAAAAAAATCTTGAACTTTATAGGAAAAACATTTTTCTGTATGTACTTATATCCATATTACAATTTATTAATTATCTTTCAATATTTATCTATGACGTGAAATTTTTGTATAGGATTGTTACAAAAATAGTGGCTAGGCCTTAGAATATACCATACATACATGATATATATATATATATCATAGTACATATTTGTCCTTGTCTGTTTTATGTTTGATCTGATACATCTCGGAAGTTACGTGTCCCCTAATATACATTCGACTCACGTAACACGACTTAGACCTCATGATAACGATGTACTTGTGATAAAACTATGACAATACATTCATATTATAAACATTATATTTGTTTTTTAACCTTAAAATTATGTTACTGTCATCAAAACTACTTTTCCCCAAGGTCAATGTATTAAAAGTATCTTAGTTTGATCCACATAAATGAAAAAAGGTTTTATTAAATATTTAAGAAATATATTCCTGGGAATACAATGTTTATTTCAGTTTTAAAAAAAGAATATTTCAGTTCATAAAGCATTGGCTATGTTGAAGCAATAAGTAAGATCTGTCAATGACTGTACACTCATTTTCCTCTAGGAAGGACATAATTTATTCGTAAAAAAAATATATATTTATTACAAAGGCGACTTGTAACTGTTTCATTCAACAAATTTTCCTCAAACATCTCTAACTATATAAGTACCATATTTCCGAACGGCGTCATTCACAAACAAGCTCTCAGAAGATGCATTTCAAACTAATAGTGTTGTTATCATTGGTTTCTTTTGTTAGAAATCACGATGTTTACATCGGTTCTGAGGGAGGAAGAAAAATATTTGAAGACACAAGATACGCGGGTCCGGCGATATGGAGACAGGTTGAAAATATTACAGTGATCGCACCAGAAAATGAAGTTATAAGCATGGTTAATATCACTGACTTACGGCCGGATAAAGATGGCGACGTGGAGATAGTTGATGGCGGGAAAGGTGAAAAAAGTGTTACAATAGAAATCAAGAGTCCCACAGTATTGAGAGGCTATGAATTCCATATTGAAGTATATTCAACATCCGCAAAAACTGATAATAACAACGCTCAGTCAGATAGTATGGAGAATGATTTTAAAACGACGGCAATTCCAGAGAATGTATCAGGAAGTTCAGAAGTTATACCAGCTGAGGTTGGAAAAGATTCTGATATGCCTAGACCTGCGAGGGAAGCTAGTGTTGAACAAGAGGAAAGTGGAACAACAGAAGTAGTGAATGAAAGTACAACTGAATATACAACAACAACAGATTCAACAACAGAAGACAGTGAAAGTTCTGTTGATGAAGATTCAGTTCCAGTCGATTTAGACTCTGATTTACTAAGACCAGCCCGTCATGCATCTGAAGAAGAAAGCATCGAAGATATTACAACAACCACTGAAATGGAACATTTCGAATTCAAAGGCACCTTGGAATACATTCCGACAACTGAAGAAACAGGCAGTGAAAATAATCCAACGATAATCAGCGAGGATGTTATAAGACCGGCACGAAGAACAGACGAGGAAAATGATTCTGATGCAACAACTGAAATTGTCGAAGAACAAAACATAGACACTACACCCAACAATGGTATTAATAAAAATAATTATACTTACATGGATATACTAGAGTACATCAAAATGAGAGAACAAAGTGTAAGACAAATCCGTCGCACAGACGAGGATTCAGAAGAAAGTAAAGAAAATTCATCAGAGAGTTCAGCAAACGATGAAACAGTAGATCTAGTTCCACCAGAAGAAAACTCAAGTTACAGTGATAACTTCTACACAGACAGCACAGAAACTACAATTAATTCTGAAGAAACTACACCCATCAGCAATCCTAGATATGTTAGAAGGTTAGATTCGGACTTAATGTTGGACACTACAACCGAAACCAATGAGAATACTGACGTAACCGAAGGATCAACAATAGCTGATGAAGTTACAACCGAAGCTATAGAAAATACTAGAAACTCACGAAATACCGAAAACTTACTAGACAGCGAAGATCTCGATTTAAATAACGAAACTAGTGCGGAAAATAATATGATGTCAAACGATAAAATCTCGAGCGGTATTGTGTTGTTAAAAGGAAACGATATAATTGTTTCAGCAGAAGGTAAAGAATTGAGATTTAATCTTCCAATAGTGCTTATTATAGGCAACGAAAATAACTTTCCTCTATTCAATATGATTGGGCCCCAAGATACTGAGAACAGGATTTTGAATAATGATTTGGAAAATATGAATGATAATCTGGATGTAAATGTTCCCGAATATACATCTGTGGATGCTGAGGCAGCCAGTGAAATTATTATGAATGACGATTCATATTAAAACTGCACAGTATAACCTCTTTCGTTAATTTTACTTGTACAGATAAAAAAAAATGTGTATATTATAAGTGATAACATGTGAATTAATTTATAACTTTTAATCGTACTCTTTTTAATTTATTGTTTAAATGTTAATAAACACATTTTATACATTAACTTTGTTTTTATTCATAAGAAAGTAATAATAAGCTGAAACTACATAAAATCCTGTTTCATAACCTTACTGAAAATAAAACGGACTTGTACATTTTTATATATTACCACGATTTATATTTAGTATAACTTATATTTCAATATGTATATTAAAATAGACATAAATATTTGAATGGGCACTGTAGCTCCATCTGTTATTACCTCCTTCAAACTTATCTAGATAATTTATAAAGTGTTCACTATATTTTATAATAATTGGATATGGATTTTAATACAAATCGTCATAAGAGCGATTAGTCTTTAAAATGAGTATTTAATAGTGTCTTTTTATGTTCATAATAGTAATAATATTATTATTTAGAACTGTATTTTTTATATACAAAGTATGTATTGTATTAACAGTTTATATGTATTCTCACAACTTACTGAATTCAGCTATTGTTATATTCTTTAATTCACATAAAACACTTAAAATAAATACAAAATTTATATTATTTCTTACTATTTATTTATTAACAGTAAAAATGTACACAGCCTTAAACCCTTTGAACTTTAGTGCGACAATATTAAAAAATTGAGCCATTGTTTTTGATTATAAAAAAAATCATACATAAAAAGTTCAGTAATAACATGATATGCAAAAAGTATGTATATGAAAAATATAAAATATATTAAAACAGAATGTAAGTATAGAAATTAATCGTATGTTATCAGGGAATGTACATTTATATCAGGATTATTCTTTCTTCCATTTAAAGACAATAGTTCTATAACAACTAAACATCCAACAACATCGGCCCCACATTTCTTTAGAAGTGTTGTCGCTGCCTTGATTGATCCTCCAGTAGCCATGAGGTCGTCAATAATGAGACATTTCAGTCCAGGACGAACAGCATCTTTCTGAACTTCTAAAATATCCTGTTAATATAACAAATTATTATTTATCATTCATACATAATATATTTGTGACAGAGACGAAACTTCTCAGCATTCCATGGATTCACCGTGCGGGTGCCGGGTCCATCGCGTTGCAGGGAGAGGAGCTTCAACAGTGCCTGGGACTTGCGACCCAAGTGTAGGTTTAAGGGGCCCCTTAACTAACGCGCGTTATACGCTCACCTCCACTGTCCAAGCTCCTCTCCCTACCTAACCAAATTTGAAAAGAACCTACTAGGGCTGCCTTCGATGTATGTTCCAAGAATTCATTAATGTGAGTTCTGGACAAGCCCAAGGCCTTTAGTAGGTTATAGAGAGATTTCACTGTTATACCTCTCAATTTTTAAATTAGTTTTGATTAAAGAGCAAAGGTTTTTAAATGTTATTCCAAACTTTTTTTTTATTTAAATAGACATTTTTTATGACCATAGGCTATTACTATTGTGTGATTAGATAAGGTTATTAGTAACATTATATAAAGGTTAACAATAACCTATTTTTTATATAATTATGTAATATGTAAATAGATTTTTTAGTTTATAAATGTTTCTGAGTTTATTAATACTTACAGATCCATATTCCAGTTCATATTTATGTGATATAACTTCACCGGGTAACTTTCCTTTTTTTCTGACTGGCAAACAACCGACGCCGAGTTCAGCGCTGAGTGAGAATGAAAATAAGAATCCTCTTGACTCAACGCCTACTATCGCTTCTACGTCTGGAAACTTTTCTTTTATAACATCAACTAATAATCCTTGAAGCAATTTACACGTGCGACCATCTGAAATAGCTGAGAAAATGTCCCTGAAAAATTACAATAACAAGAATAAGTGGTGGTCATTTCTTTAGTTAAACTTTTCGATATCAAGACTTACCAAAACAGTATTCCCTCCTTTGGAAAGTTTGGAAAACTTTTTATTTTAGATTTAAGTTCGGCAACTCTTTTTTCGAAACTGGAATCCATTTTCTTACTTTTATGAATATCGGCTTAAACATAAATTAAGTGTGGTTTTAATTCACAATTTTTAAAACAATGCGTGAAATTTCAAATTATAGCCAAAATTCAAAAGATGGTGCTGTTACTTTATGGCTCTTAATGATTAGTGACACTGATAGTGGATGAAACGTCAAATTCAACGTAGTGTGAATTGTGACTTATATTTTTATAATAGAAACTCTTAATACTTATATTGATTTAATTTCAAACATTTATATTTTTAATAAAGATTAATATTTGTTTTCCATTCATTAAAATTAAAATTATTTATAAGACTATGAATCATTATAGTGATAGTACGAATCGAAACTCAATTTTGGATCAAAATTAATTCTTTTTATTAATTCCGTAATAGGAATTATTGATATTTGCTTTTAAACAACCAAAAATTGTAAGAAAACTAATTTTTCTAATATAAAAATCTGTAGTTGTTTATGAATGTCAACTGTTAAACGTAATACTGACATTTGACAAATGACAGTGATTAGTTTAAATAAATTTTAAATTGCTCATCGGCGGTTAAAATATTAACATTAAAGCGAACTATTTTAATAAACGTATCATAAAACATGACAAAAATCAGATTTCTTAATTAAATGCTGAAGTGTTTGTTATATAATTTAAATAAAAATATTTCCCGCCAGAAATTCGTATCTTGAAAATTTAACTCACAATGTTATCGAATGAGGATCTAGAAAGGCTAATTAAGACTAAGCGGCGTGAGATAGAACAGGAGAAAATTCAGCTCGGTCTATCAGAGCACAATGTAAGTAGAATATAATTTTTTATAATTTTTCAACCTGTTGCTGTCTGCAGTGATAGATTACAACCCTATTGATTTTCCGCCAGTCGCCGGCAGTTCGTACAACGACTCGACGTGTTAACTACACTGTAAAGTTTCCTAAATAGTTATTCTAATATTTTACCATCACAACGGAAGTAAGTTAACAAGGATACATTATTTTTATACATTTAAACCTTCTATATCGTGATTGTGTTAATTTAAAAACATTAATTTATTTCGGTGAAATGTTTATAAACTTCTAAAGACTAGACTTCTTCATAACAAAGTTGTACATTAGGGTGGACAAAATTGTAGCGGCACAGTCATTAAGGCAAACAATATTTATGAAACCTGTAATTAGACTTAGTAAATTATTACTTATATGTAGTCAAATATATTATTTTTGAATATTAACCTATTTTTATAGGATGTTGATCAAAAAACTTGTGTCGGGGAAGAAGAAAAAAAAGTAGAATACAGGCAAAGGGCGCTCTCTGAAAGTAATGCATTACAGAATACAAACAAAAATGAAGAAATACCTGCGGATTTAGAACGATATATAAGAGTAAGTAGATTATTATTTTATTTTATTAGTAACTAAACAAATTCTCAATTGTTTCAGATCTTAAATTTCATTTAAATATTATTTGAGTAGAATTTTGTATATATATTGTGTAAATATTTTCATAAGATTTCATACCTACATTAACAATAATAGTTCTCTTTGTATTAAAGATCATAATTATCAGTAATTTTTTCATATTTTTTAATATATTTTATTATAACTATGAAATGTTATAAATGAACACTTATTCGTAACTATTTTTGGTTGTAGTAATATTATAATATAAAATTAAACTTTACAACATTTAAGTAAATATATTCTATTTATTTTTATATCTGTCTTAAAATTTAATCACCATTACACTCTTTATCGATAAGTACTTTAGTTTCCACTAGTTACATTTATACAAACAAAATTGATTGTATTTTAATACAATAATTAATTTAGTTTTTACAACTTAATATAATATTTAATTCAATTAAAATGTTTGTATTACCAAAATAAAACATTTATTTCAATTGCTAACTAAAAGCAACAATGTTAATACATCAAGGTCGTTTATACTAATTGAATTAAAACTCAATTTATTTATCTTGCAAAAAATACGATAGATTTAGATAATTTATCATTGACAATGCCATATCAATGTACGTATAAGCTTTGACGCCTCCACATTCGATGCAAAGAGGTCTTAATGATTTGTTTTAAAAAAACGTGACCTTCGTTTAAAAAAAAAATACCTGGCAGGTTATTTATAAATAGGTTTTAAATCAAGTGAGTATTTTGAAAAAAGAATCATCTTGTTTGAAGTTAGTTTGTGGTTTGTAAATATATCGTTCGGTTTTTAAAATAAAAAAAAAATTGAAAGAGGTTTTATATAATTTATGTTCTATAATTTGAAAATAGAATTGTTCTGATTTTATTTGTTATTATTGCTTGAAGCGCCTAGAAAGCGTTTAATTTTCATCATCTACGTAGTTGAGTGATGCTTTGTGTAGCATTGCGCAAGTCGATCCAATGCAGATATCCTCTCATTGCATCTAGATTCTAGAATATTCCTGGATGTGTCGTATCAAAGATTCTTATTTTAAAATTAATACTTAAAAAATTTAAAAGTGATACATAATAATAATTCATCATCTAGATTTTAATAGTAAAAAAATTAAAAAATATTTTTTATAACTACAATACAAATTACCGGATGTCAATTATATGAACAATCTTTATGAAGGTTTAATGCCATTCAGCCAATATAAAACCTCATTTGTAATACGCATTTTTTTAAAGATATTTTATTCATTATTTTTTTATACTACGTACTAGATTATAGACTTAAGTAGTTTTTTGTGTCATTCATAAAAAAACCCTTAACCTATATTAAATCAGTATACTTAGTCAAATTTTTCATCGTCACACTACATACGTATAGTTTCCCGTTTCTCATTCAATACTACGTTAATACTATAATGTGATGATTTATGAATGACAAACTGTTAACGCTACGTGTGTAGCGACGATGCAAACTAAGGGTAAGCGTACTGTAGTGTAATGTAAACCAAACTACTTTTTAATATTAAAATCAGAACGAACTATACACAAACAAAAAAGATCAAAACTTATTTCGGTAAAGCAATATAGTTTCTATGTTACGATAAAATAAAGATGCTATACGCATATAAAAATCTCTTAAACATTAAATTCACTTACCACGGGTTTAAAACGTCGAAATAAAAAAAGAATATTTTTCAGTCTATCATTTGATAGCACACGATAATAACAATAGAAGGATTTTCGTTGCGAAAAAGAACTTCAAATTGAGCGCAGTTAGTTTGGCACAAACAACTAGTAAGTGTAACAAAACTTTATATATATATATATATATACTTTGATATTTTGGTTGGTGATAAAAAAGGCAAAATTTTGTTTTGTATGTATTTTTAAAGGCTTCATTATGTAAAAAAAAAACAAAAACAAAAAACTTCGGTGGAAAAAAAAATTAAGAGTGAACCCTTATGTCTTAGGGGTGTGGAATATAGATGTTGGCCAATTCTCAGAGCTACTCAATATGCTCATAAAATATCATCGAAATCGGTAGAGGGGTTTCAGAGAGGTTTTCTGTCTAACACCGCGACACGTGATTTTTACATATAAGATATATATTTAAATCTCTATATTATTATATAAGGCAAAAATAAATATTACTCATTTTAAACTATTTGTTACAACACATACAAAAAGTCGTATATTTAATGATTAATATCTTTATTTACAACACAAATACTGTCTGTATTCTTAGTCTGAGTTATAATTATCGTACTTAGCGTTAATAGTTTTTCGTTCATAAATCATCATAAAATATTAACGTAGGTTATTGAGAAACGTGGAGTATGTAGTGTGATGAAAACTTGGAATTAGTAGTCGGATAGGTAAAGAATCTGATAACATATTATAAAAAGTAAGAGTTATAATGTCATCAGCCTATCAGAGCCCACTGCTGTAAGGCCTCTTCTCACATGGAGAAGGTTTGAGCATCAATCACCACTCTTGCTCAAGACGGGTTGGTGATTTCAAACTTATAATTGTGAAATTATAAGTCTAGATTTCCTCAATATATTTTCTTCATCAGTCAGTGATGTCTAAATACTCTTAGAAAGTACATATGACTCGGAAAAATCACATTGGTACTTGCCAGGATCGAACCCGCGCCCTCATGTACGAGAGGCGGGCCTTTAACCACTAGGGCACCACTGACTTGAGTTATAATAGCCATCAATTATTATTTTTAAATATATAGTTAATTGAGATAGAAATTGGATTTGAAGGAAAATTAGGTAAATAACATATATTATTTTTGATTTTTTTTTTGTGGGTAGAAAGAAAAGACCTATAAAATAGCTCCAATAATTTATTGAAGAAAGAATTTAAAAATGTTTTTCTATATTAATCAACACTTTTATAAGATCATTTATTCTTTGTTATGTATAGTATACATAATTAAATTGTATGGCCTGTTTTAACTCTTATGTTGCTGAAAGAACTTTCTAAGAAATTATTGTCTTTTGAAATCTTTTAACTTTAATTAAAATTAATTACTTATATTAGAGTTGAAATTAATAATCATCACATTTATATATTTACAAAGAACTCGTATAAATAATAATTTCAGTATTCATAGAAAATTTTCTTTAATTTCTATACCATGCAATTCAATGCTCTTTGACCTCTCGTAATGAATTATTAAAACCCCTTAATGCATCTACTCGTACAAGGCGATCGTCAAAAGATTTTAAATAGTATTCAATTTTAACCCTTAACACGAAACTAATAAAAACGAAAGTTTACAATACACAATAGAGCTCAAAATATTTCAAGCTATAATAAATAGCAATAAATTTTAATTAATATGAAGATATTCTCACGTTATTAAGCATAAATAATCTCTCGTTTAGATAGCAACGCCTACGTTTTGAACCTATGACGTAATACACACACACACACACACACACACACACACACACACACACACACACACACACACACATACATAATAAATAATCTTAGTACTAGTTAGGATACTATTTACTAATCGTTAATCGTTTTTTGAAACAGAACTACTATTACGATAAAGAGAAATTGTACAGTAAAAAGTACAGTATAGTAAAAAGGCAAGAAAATCTTTTTATACCGATTATATATATAAAAAATGTAGATATGATTAATTTTATTATCTGTATTTTAGTAAAACCTTTTTTTAACAAAAATATGTTAAGCCTTTGTTCATTTGTTGCATTCTGTTTCATGGTACTAAGTTTTAAACGAGTAGGTTTAGAACAATTGATGTAATTCATATGCAAATGATCTTATTAGTACATACTATGAATGCTGTATTGTTTTATATTTATACACTAACTAGCTGTTGCCTGCGGGTTTGCTCGCTTTTTGAACTCCATTTGAAATGTTTGTCATTATTGTTGAGAGGTTTCGTATGATTTAACTCCCTCTACAGAGACGAAACCTCTCATCATTCAATGTATTCACGGTGCGTGTGTCGGGTCCATCGTTGTAGTGAGAGGAGCTTCAACAGTGACTGGGACTTGTGACCCAGGTGTAGGATTAATATATATAGAGAGACGAAACCTCTCATCATTCAATGTATTCACGGTGCGTGTGTCGGGTCCATCGTTGTAGTGAGAGGAGCTTCAACAGTGACTGGGACTTGTGACCCAGGTGTAGGTTTAATATATATAGAGAGACGAAACCTCTCATCATTCAATGTATTCACGGTGCGTGTGTCGGGTCCATCGTTGTAGTGAGAGGAGCTTCAACAGTGACTGGGACTTGTGACCCAGGTGTAGGATTAATATATATAGAGAGACGAAACCTCTCATCATTCAATGTATTCACGGTGCGTGTGTCGGGTCCATCGTTGTAGTGAGAGGAGCTTCAACAGTGACTGGGACTTGTGACCCAGGTGTAGGTTTAATATATATAGAGAGACGAAACCTCTCATCATTCAATGTATTCACGGTGCGTGTGTCGGGTCCATCGTTGTAGTGAGAGGAGCTTCAACAGTGACTGGGACTTGTGACCCAGGTGTAGGATTAATATATATAGAGAGACGAAACCTCTCATCATTCAATGTATTCACGGTGCGTGTGTCGGGTCCATCGTTGTAGTGAGAGGAGCTTCAACAGTGACTGGGACTTGTGACCCAGGTGTAGGATTAATATATATAGAGAGACGAAACCTCTCATCATTCAATGTATTCACGGTGCGTGTGTCGGGTCCATCGTTGTAGTGAGAGGAGCTTCAACAGTGACTGGGACTTGTGACCCAGGTGTAGGTTTTAATATATATAGAGAGACGAAACCTCTCATCATTCAATGTATTCACGGTGCGTGTGTCGGGTCCATCGTTGTAGTGAGAGGAGCTTCAACAGTGACTGGGACTTGTGACCCAGGTGTAGGATTAATATATATAGAGAGACGAAACCTCTCATC